TAAAACGTATAAACCAAGTTCACTCATAGTTATTTTTTCTTTTTTTTTTTTTTTGTCTCTTTTCTCCATCCATGATGAAGAAGTCATGCAACATTTAATGTAATAATTTTGAAGTCCACTTTTTTTGCCTCTTATAATTGGTAGTTGAATCTTGAGAGATGAAAGAAGATCATACATACTAAGAATTAGTATTGTATGATCCACAATCTAATAAACTTTTACTTATACAAAAGAACCAAAAAAAAAAAAAAAACTTGTAATCTATAGTTTGACATATAAATTTTAAAGCTGTGCAAAATGAAAGCATAGACATTACCCTTTTTTAGGTTTTTTTGAATCAAACCCATTTTTGAATTGACTGATGCAAGTTCTTTTATGAATCAAATGGATTCATATATGAAAGAAGCTAAACATAAATTCTTTCAAAATTGTCTATTTATTCATATAATTCAGTATCAAAACGACAGTACTCCAACGTAATGGAATTCGTTCCCACGCTGTTACGTAATGGAACCAGTTCCAGCGCTGTTACTTAAAGACCAGAGAGATCAATGGCCATCTCTATTCTCTAACTTGGTGGCATGCTTGGTATGTTGCCTGTGAGGGAAGTCGGTTAATCATGCTAGCAATAGCAAGCACATGGTTTTGAAACCGCCACTCCTACTTTTTATGTGCTACTAAACTCACTCTTTTCCATATCTTTGTGTGCTGGCGCCCGCAATTAAGAAGCTGGAAGTTATTGGAGAAAAACAAGAGGTTTCATAGAACGGATAAGAAAAAAAATATTGACAAAAGTTGAAGTTTTTGTTATATATAAAGATTAGTCAAAAAAAAGGGGGAGAAAATACAAACTTTACAATGTGAACATAGAAAAAATGGAATCATTTAAGGATTAGAAAATGAAAAATTAGCCTCCCCCCTCTTGGCTGTTAAATGAGTTTATCCGATATTTAATAAATTTTTAATATCTTATAATTTTATATTTTGGTTAGATCATTTCACTTACTATCAATTGATTTTAAATTTGATACTTAACATGATATCAGATGTAAGACTTTATTTTCATTGTTTTTTCTTAATTTGTCATATAGAAGATTTTTTTTATCTTCGCTTACACATGATGAGAGCTTATTAAATTTGATTATCTCATATCTAATAAATTTTTAATATCTTATAATTTTATATTTAAATTGGATTCTTTTATTTACTGTCAATTGATTTTAAATTGAATGTTTAATATTTTTATAACTAAAAAGCTTTAAGAAAAATACGTGGATGTGAATTTTAATCTTATCATCTCCGTCCTCCTTTATAACGGCAAGTCTCCCTTTTATCTCCTCCTATGAATCAAAAAATGAAGAATTAGATGAGTACTATATATATCACCAATGAATAATTACTAAGATTAAGAACTTAGAGGTGAACGTAACAAACACCTACACTGACTTGTAACTTCAGTTGGAAAATATGAGAGAATTTTAATAATTAATATATTAAGATCACGTTTCACATTTTTGCACTATTTGAATTATTGAAAATAAATATCAAGTACATGCATGTAATGTAATAAGGATAATTTTAATTTTGAAAAAAAACTTAAACTTACAAATAAAATTGGCAACAACGATCTACTAATCTAATTATTTTAAATTAAAATTTAATTAACATCATATGAGAATAAAAAATATATATTATATATAATATTATATTACATGATACATGATTATCTAATAAAGTTTGTTTACATATAATCTTATTTAGATAATTTATATTATTGACAAGGATAATTTTTTAATTTTAGTTGCCTGCCAAATAGTTTATTATTTAAATTTTAAAAATGTTTCAAATCTTAAAAATTAGACTTATTCAAATTTTTTATATTAAATAATTTATAATCTTTATTCTCATTTAAATGAGATAAAATTATTGTGATCATGAATAAATCTATATGCTTTGGTGGGGGTGTCCATAGATACCCCAAAATTTGGAAAACAAGAAAATTTAAATATAATCCAAGTGTTTTATATATATTATAAGTAGATAATTCTGAAAAAAAATCCTGGATATGTCACTGCCAATGAAAAAATTAAAAATTAAAATTTTACTTAAAATTAAATGAGCATTTTTTATAGAACATGTACATATTCTTTATCTTGCATTCTGCAGACTCTTTGGCCAAGCTAGTTACTCATAGATGCAATGATTTTGTTTTATGGTTGTAATTTTGCCCTATTTCAATAAATTTTATCTTTCAAAAAAATTTTTCTTTATCTTGGATTTAAACTATGTAAGTGCATTACAAAACAATTTTGAAGTTTTGGACTTCATTAATTAATTAATTAATATTATTATTATTATTATGTAAAGCATAAATATATTTAGATATCGTGTTCCTACTTTTAGAATTTTAGTATATGTTTTCAATAATTTTCATCTTAAATTTATTGATTTTTGTATAGTAGTTAGTAAAACTAAATGCATATATAAATTATATGTATTGTTATAATTTCATCATGTATAGTAAATATATAACTAATTTTCACTTTAAATTATTTTTCATGTATAAATTTAACTAAAGTGATAAAAAGATTTTCTTTAATAAGTTAACTAAGATCATAGCTCCATAACAATATATCATACTTATAGTTATTTTTTATTTGTATTACAATAATATTTTTCAATGTTTCTTATGTCATATGATGTATATAGAATAATGGTTATTACCTATAAAATTCCTTAAAAAAATTAAGAATAAAATAGGTGAAAAAATAGTTTTTCTATAGATGATGAATTAAAACTTTGGTGTGGTGTTAGATCGATATTACGTAGATAAAAAAATAATAATATATGACAAAACATTCATTAACCGAGTAATTAATTTTTAATTAAAATAATGCTAAATTTAAAAACAATTAAATTATTGATTTTTTACTATAAATATACAAAAAGATATAATTAAAAACAAAAAATACTTTGTCTAAATTTAAAATCACACATATTCCTTCTATCTTTATCAATTTTCAAATATTTTATTAGTAATTTCTTTTTAAATTCAAAAAACACATATCACTATTAATAATATGTGCTACGCAATTTTTTCTCAGTATTTAGTTTTCCTTTAGGATTTATATTACTTTTGTGATTTTGTTGTTTATTTTACTTAGATGATTTCTTCTTTTGACATTATTTTTATTTAATTCTTTTTTGTTTGTCACGCATTTTTTAATTGATATTTTTTTCAATATTTTGATCAAAATCATAATTTAGTAAAGGTATGTCAATACTTCTTTTATTATTTAATTGATCATTCAATATTATATTTTTATTTTTATTTTCTTTCAAAAACAAATATTATATTTATATTCAATTTTTTTTACTTTTTTATACATATCTAATATCTTTTTTTTTTCACATTTGTTTCGATATTTTGATCAAGGTAATAATAGTAAAGTTCATTTTTCTTATTATATGTTAATTGAATATATAATTTATATTTTATATATGTCATAAAATTTTAAAGAATTAGAAATAATTATAGGAAAAAAAATAAATTTTGAAGCGTAAACACATATTTAAATAAATAAAATAATTTATACATCGCATGTATCATAAACTAGTTTTATAAATAAATCACTCAAATAAGCATAATAAAGAGATAAAATAAATTATAAAAAAATTAAATTATACTTTAAAATAAACCAAAAATATAGAGTACAAAATTAATTAAAAATCTCATATTTTATTAACTAACGCACTCGAACATAGAAATTATCCTTCTAGAAATAGCATTGAACTTGACTTTTTAACACAAAAGGAAACACAATCTAGTTTTCTATGAATCACCACTTTGTCTACGATTGACATTTTGGTATTACATTTCTGTCTCAATGCACCTAGACAAGTCTAATTACCAGTAACCCACTGTTGATCATGAGTGGCCATCAACAATATGCCCAGACATTAATAATTTCTATATTACTCCCTTTGTCTCAATTTTTATTTTTTATTGTTAGGATATCCCAAAATTATGTCTTATTTTATATTTTAAACATCTAAAACTCCTACATTTTATATTTAAAATTATTTTTTATAATTTTTTTAACTTTTTGAAATTAATAAAAATCATAAAACTTTAATTTTATAAAAAAATTTTAAATTTTAATATTAAATATATTAATCTTTTTTTTAATTCGTGAAAGTTAATACATAACAAATAATTTGAGACAGAAGGAATATTATATTGCAATAATTATTAAAATTACTGTTCACAAATTGTGTCGAGTTGTATGTGAGTCAGCCCAAATCAGTCGATATCTCAAATTTTTTGCTCTAAGGTTTGGTTTGGTTCAATATGATATCCAAATAATTTCAAATTATTTTTTTATTGATTAAATAGTATTTCAAATTAAACCCAAAATTGAAAAATCTAGTCCAGGACTTAAGCCGAATCAAGCTAAATTTTGGACAAGTCTAAGCTTAGGTAATCTAATTAAAATTAATAGACTACTTGTGAAAATTCAGCAATATTGTCATCAATGTCTTTGTAATTTACAAACAGTTGTTAAAACGTTTCGTTCGTTCATGTGTCTAGAGATATTAATCATTTTGCGGACTCTCTGTGGGAGTTAATCGCTCCACAAACTTGATTGCATGGCTATAATTTTGTAATTTTTTTGTTTTAATAAAATTTTATTTTTCCAAAAAAAAGAGGAGAAATAGAAAGTTTAATAAAACACAAACTTTATAGAAATTAAACAGTTGAAAGTTCCTCTATGAAGTTAAGGATAGATGTCCGAAACATCACAAATTAAAACACAACGACAAAGTACAGACTGTAAAACACACAAACTGACCTTAACAAGCAAGGTACTTAATCTTTTGGATGGTCACGAGAAAATGTCTTTACCTTGTTTTTTTCTTAATTATACCTTTATTTTCTCGCTAAAATACTTTGATCCAAACTATAATTAGAAAGTTCTTGCAATTTCAGATGCTGATGACTAGAGATTTCCTTGAGAGATCATCTCCAGCAAATCCAGCTGCTTTTTCAAGGAATCCATTTCTAGGGTAACCTCATAATCCATGGCATTGCTCTCTTCAACAACAGAACCACAGGGGTTAGCTTCTTCATGCATCGATCCCAAGCTAGCAGTGCAGCTTTGATTACAATCAGGAAAAACATTTGCGTCGAAAGAGAAACTCATGGGCTGATGATGATCACCTGCTTTATCATTACAAGCTACAACTGGCCAATCTGTTGGGTTGAAATCCGAGGTTTCGAGTTGATTTGATTTCATTTCAGGATTGGTAATTTCCAGCACCCTGTTCCCTTTGTCTTTTCGGGTTGAGGTCGTTGAGCTCACTGACTTGATGTAGGTTTGCAAAAGAGAGCCTTTGGGGTGGGCGTATTTGCCTTTGCGCCTTGAGCATTGCCTTCGCTTAGTTGCATTCCAATGATTCTTTATAGTGTTCTCAGTGCGTCCTGGGAGTCTCTTGGCTATCTCAGCCCACTTGTTTCCTATTTCTTTATGTAATTGAATGAGTAGCTTATCTTCTTCTTCGCTCCATGAATCCTTCTGCAAAAACAACAAGCCATATATTTTTGTGCCAAGAATCAATATTGAACAAAAACTCTTGAATTCGGGATAAGTTTTTTTCTTTTTTTGTTTATCATTTCTGTTGTGTCTGTATATATAAAAGTTAGGCATAATTTGTTCAAGATAGACTCCAATGAGAAAAATTGTAATATGCATCATGCTAATACTAGAAAGTATGTACTTAAAATCGCTAAAAAAAGATACTAAATTTAGACGATACATGAAAATATCCAAAATCTCATTAAACAAAAAATTTTGCATATATTACATGCATTGGTTTTAAAGCATGGAAATTTCATTTTTGATCAACCATGTTCTTTTTCTTAAGAAAAAAGGGTTTAGGGTTCAACAATCATATGCTAAAACAAGAAAATTAATAATTATTTAAAAGAATAGATGTATATATATATATATATATTTACTTATAGGGTCTTAAAAATACATATGTGAACATTAGTATCATTTTAAAATCAAAACTAATAAATATTTTTTGTTAACTTTTAAATTTTACAATTTATTTTGATGATAAGATCAAATTAATTGGGTCTTAAAAATACATATGTGGACATTAGTATCATTTTAAAATCAAAACTAGTAATTTTTTTTGTTAACGTTTAAATTTTACAATTTATTTTGATGATAAGATCAAATTAATAAAATTTTATTTTAACCTAATATTGGCCAGCATGATAATGCGTTGTCACGCACGTAATGACAAATTATTAACATGGTAAGATTTTAAATACTCTACCGAACGCGTCAATAAAGAAATAATAATAAAAAAAATCTGTCATAATAATTCCTATTCATCTATTTACGCGTGTCAATAACAAAATTCCATAATTGAAATTCTCATAACCAAACAAATAAGTGAAAATTTTTAACTAATCCTTGTATGCATACAATGTATGGATTATTGTGCAATATGTATGTATGCATAATGCATATGTATGATGTATACAATCTTTTGTCCAAGAAATACACATACACATACACATACATATGATATTCATAAGTATACAAGTATATGTATGTACAAGATCATGCATGTATATATATGATGTATACAATCTTTTGTCCAAGGCATACACATACACATACATATGATAGACACAAGTATACAAGTATATGTATGTACATGATCATGCATGTATATATATTTGAGTGTGTGTGTGTGGTTAATGTCTTACTGGGAGGTAAAAGAAGAAAAGGAAAGGGAAAAATAAGGTAAAAAATAAACCTTGATATCAGGCCTTAGATGGTTATGCCACCTCTCTCTACACTGCTTTCCCACTCTTCCATTCAGCATGTTTGCAATTTGAGACCATTTCTTTGTTCCATGCCTTGTTACCAACTGCACAAGCAATCTACAAAGACAGATAATTTACATAATCAGATCTTAAAAAAAAGCAAAACCCTAATCTAGAAAAATAGCCGAAAACATATAACAAAATGAACAAAAATTGTGTGTGTTATACCTGTCCTCTTCAGGAGTCCATTGGCCTTTGATTATATCAGTTTTCACAATAGGTTTGCTAACTTTTCTGGCATCGGAGAACCTTTTGTTCTCCTGCTGATCAACTTTGTCTTGATAATTCCCATTTTGATCTGCTGTGACGCATGAGCCTTCATCAGCCAACTTAGCAGTCATTGGTGGTTGTTGATCATCTTGAAAATTCGGAGGCTGTTGATGATAACTATGATCAGTTTCAGGCAGGGGTTGAGCTGAAGCTTTATTCTGAGAAAAATCCCAGCAGCCTTCACTCTCAAAACCCTGGAAGATGCTATTATTATTCACACCATCATCTGGTGCAAAGGGCAAGGAAGGGATATAAGCATTGAGATCAGTCGAAAATCCACCGCTGTAAGGCTCGAAAGGATCAGTGCATGTCGAGGAAACCCCGAAAAACGGATTCTTTGAGGACCCATCAATTGAAAATTGATTAAAATGGTCAGGGTTATCCAAAAGAGAAGCATTTTCAACATTAGGAGTTGATTGCTCGGTATGGTCAGGATTAAGGATAAAGTTGTGAAGCAACCCTTTGGAAGAAGAAGCTGATGATGATGAAGAACCATCAGGCAAGGGAGGAAAAAGCCCATTTCCAAAGTCAGGTTTAAAGGTAGAATCAAAAATATTATCAGAGAAAAGGCTTGAAAGGAAAGAGAAATCCTCTCTAAAGCTTGTATCAAACTCCATGCAGCAGCGAAAGAAGAAGAAGAAAAGAAAGAGAAAGCACAAAGAGAAGGGTGGTTTTATGTTTGTTTGCAAAAAGGTTTATAGTAATGGTTTTTAAAAGGGTCAAAATTATATTTCTATGGGCTTTTTTTTATATAATTATAAGAGAATTAAAATATAATATAAAAATATAACATAAAAAAAAAAAAAGGGTTTGGGTTGAAATATTTGAGACCATTGATGAAATGGAAAAGCAAGGGTTAATATTGAAAGTTGATTGTGACTGTTAAGCTTCCAAGTTTAAGTGTTGCAAAGGGCAAAAAGGGCCCAAATTAATCATTAGTTCGTTATAAAGATTTGTAATTTAGGGAAAATTCTTCGACTAATCGAAACAAGACGTGGAAGACATGGACAGGCCCTTCGATTCTTTTCAAGCCAAAAAAAATGCCCCAAACTCATCTTTTTCTTTTTTTTTTCTATTTTTAATTACTTTTCTTGTTAAATTTACTGCATCAAAGGCAAGAATTTGTGATGTTATAAAAGAGGGATTTTGCTTAAATTAGATTCAATCTTTTGATTTTTTTTTTGTAAAATATTGCACAAATAAAAATTTGTAAATATTGATATAATTACATAAATTAATTGAGTTAAAATTTAATTTATTTTTTTATTATTTTTTGGTGGGGTCAATGAAAATATGAAATGAAGAGAGTTTGGCTATTTTAAGGGTGTGCATGTTTTGGATGTATTTTGATTATGGTTTTCTCTTTAATACCCACTTTCAATGCTTTTTGGCTAATTCTAATTGTTAAGGGAACAAATTTTGGGACCCCTTATTTATGAATTCTAGCTTTAAATGCTATTCTTATTTTTTTTTTAAAAAAGAGATAAGGGAAAAAAATAAGTCTAAGTTCAAATCCTCCCATAGTAAATTCATGCTTTTAATATTTGGGACATCAAACGAAAATATTGCATTATTTGTAGCTATATTCTTAAATTCCCTCTTAACAAATTAACTACATGAACTTTTAATTCAAAAAATGATATATGTTTTCCATTATGTGATATATTGATAAAATATTAAATTTATAATTTTAATAAGTTCGATACAATCTCAAATATAAAAGATAATATATTATCTAAATATATATATAACAAAAAATAAGTAAGATAAGATCTTTGTTCATAATATTTTGTTAAATTACACTGATTTATATAAATAAAATTGTTCATAAATTCTTTCAAAAAAAAAAATGTTTGTTCATAAATATATATGGGAGTAGGTAGAGAAAAAATGTGTTTTATTTTTGTCTTAATGGGGGGTAGTCAAGTAATTTAAAACTCAGGTATTTTGAAACCATAAATTTTGTCCTTTATATGGGAATTGGGAAATACTGAGCTGGGGAGGGTTGGTTTTGAAGGGCATGACTAATGAAATTTGCAATGTGTCATGGATTAACCCTAAAAGCACTTTGTCTTTGTAACTGAACATTTAATGATTTTCCATTTTGAGCCTAATAAATGACCCCCATTAAATTTCTATTTAATTTGTGCCAAAATTTTGTTGAAGACAAAACTTTAAAAAAAAAAAAAAAAGAAATTTACAGTTACTTTGTTCATTTTGTGATGTCATTCTCACTTTGAAATTTTGCTTCTTTCACTCCAAGACTTGGGTAGTTGAAATGTAAAAATAAGCCAAAAAAAAAAAATTTTAAGTACAAATTTTGATTGAATTTACCATAGTTTTAAGAACAATAAAGACTAAGTTTTAATGTGTTCCTTTTACAAATACATACACTAAATTCATTATTTAAAAAAACAAAAAAGGTTAGATGAAAGATAAGGTGCAGATCATGAGATTTGAATTTCAAATTTGTTAAAATTATTTTTTACGAATAATTATAAAAAAAATTGAGTTGTCTTTTTGAAAATAAAAATTAATTGAATAAAGAGACAAGTTTATACTAAATTTATTTTTGAAAGAAAAAAAATGGCTAATTTCATATTTCTTTATTTGCATTATTATATGAGAAATTATCTAATATACTAACAGTAAAATTTTTTAATTTCACAAATGAGATTAAAATGATAACAAATATCTCTTTTTTTAAATTAATTTTTTTAAATATATAAAAGACATGTGTTATCATTTTAATCTTAATTGTGAGTTAAAAAACTTTACTATAAGTGTATTTGTAGTATTAATCTAATTCTTCTATATGTGGCAACTGACTGCAAAATTGTTACATTAATATAATTCTAAAACTTTGAAGTTTCAGCTATAAGTATATATGGTGCCAGAATTTTAGATTAGAGGATTAAAAGCATGGTTGTAGAAAAAAAATTAAATAAAATTGCAGTGGGTCTTAAATGTTAATTCAGTTATAATTAATTATTTTGACATAATTAAGTAAAAGTAGTAAAGCCAAAAAAAAAAAAAATGGTTACTGTCCAAATTCATTAGCTAAACTGGAATCAGTTTCCAACAAGTCTGGTTGAATTGTCAAATTTTTTGTATGGGGAGATGTTGTGCTTTAGTTGAGATTATATGTTTTAGAAAAGTAACAATGGCAGAGCATATATTAGAGGGTAGATTTAACCATTCGTATATTAATGTCGTGTAAAATATTAAAATTTATTTATTTATATTATGTTTTACATAAAAATTATACGTTATAATTTATGTTAATGTAAAAATATAAAATTTTTTTATTTTGTTAAATTTATATATAATTATAGCTAAAATTTTATATCGTATCACTTTTATACCTTTCATTCATATCGTATTCATATCATATTATTATATTTTATTTTAAATTATCAAGTTTATAAAGAGATTAGTCCCATGACTCGAATTTTGAGCACCAATGTACAATCTCTATGTAAGCCAATTGAACTTGAGGTTTGATCTTATAAATATATATATATATGTATATATGTAATCATTTTATTAGTTTTTTTTCAAATTAAATGTTTAGCTAATTGAAATTTTAAATCATACCACTAAAATCTCAACCATATTATAGGAATATATAAATTATTAAGATTTGGAAAATTGTTTCATGCATTGAAGATGAAGTTTTTAGAGACGCAATTAAAAGGTTGACAAATGTCTTATTAAATATATTTACTAAGTGAATATATGTATATTTTTAATCTTACTTATATAAATTAAAATTTTCATCCTATGAAAAACGAACTCTTATCTTTTATCTTACTTTCGTATTAAACTAAATATTTAGCGTAATTTTCTATAAGAAATGTCCTTCACAATTGTAAGTGTTATTGACAAGAAAATCATTAACTTGTCCTTTTTTTTTTTAAGTGAAAATCTAGAGGCATTTGTTTTAACTTTTCGATTTTAGTTCAGAGGAAGTCAAAAAAATTCATGCAGTAGCACTAGAAAAGGCAAGGCAAAGGTAATATGGAGCAGCTAATCCAAGGGGGTTGATTAAATTGATGAGAATGAAATAATTCATTTATAAATTTAAGTTATAAATTTAAAATTGATTTCCGCTGTTATCACTTTTGTTTTATAAATAATCTATAAATTCAAAATTTTTTTAATAAATAATCTATAAATTCACCAATCTATAAATACAATTCATTGAAACTTGTGAGTAATTCGAAAGATTGAGAACAACGAAATCGGAGGTCCTAGCTTATTTAGTATTAATTCCTTACTAAGAGAATATATTTAGTATCTATCAAATAATAATAATAATAAGAATATGAAGCAAACATTTGAATGAAATTAGCTTTAAACTTATAAGTATCCTTACACATTTCATTAGAATTACACAACCAATACATCAAAATGATTTTCCTTGAGGTTTTTCCTCCCATTCCCATACCATTTCCATATCAAACTTTGCCTTCTTATCTTCTACTCCAACCAAAGTGCACTGACAACACTCCTAAAATTTCCTGCTCGAGTGTCGAGTCGTCTAAATGCCCTAGAAAATCGAGCAAAAGAAAAACAAAAATAATTCCTTTTAAAATGTCAATTTCAGAAACTTCTTTGCCTTTCCGCTGCACACTGCCCCTACTACGGGCTACACAAACATATAACTTGAACCAAATCCGAGAAAGAAGAGAGCACCGGAAGGTGTGATAAAACCACCAAAATCCCTCAATTCTGAGGTCAAAAGGATCAGTGATCGGGACGTATCATGCCTTCCTCCTCATCCCTAAAACCTGTACGAGAATCTCCATACGATCCTCCAAAGTTATCCCTTCCGCTACCACCACCATAAGGTGACCTTGACCTCTCACGGGGAGGGCTCCGCGAATCACGAAAAGTTTTGTGGTCCCTTGAATTCTCATTATTGTGAGGGAGCCCACGCTGCCTGGGCGGTGACAACCGATCACGTTTCATCATCACTTCATGAAAACTGCGCACAGGGGAACGTTCACGTCCAGCAGCATTATCATACTTATCAATGCTACGACTTCGACTGCGGTCACGGCCACTGCTGCGACTTCGTCCTTTATCATAACTATCATGGAAGCCACGACCATACCTGTTCATAAATAACAAAGGGATTAATAAACATGGGGGAACTTAAACAACTTCCATTCCAAGATTACCATAATTCTAAATTTACTAATCAAGGATGGTGTGCGGAAAATCATATATCCAAATACTGCCAAGAAGCATCATGCAATAACTGAAATAAACTCAGCAGCAATACAGAACATTATAATTACTAAATTCAAAAAGGAAAAAAGAAAGAAAAAAAACTCAAAAAGAGAACACCAACATACCTGTCACGAGACTCGTGATCATATCCACGTCCTCCACTTCTCTCATGCCAGCTAGAAGATGTAGAAATTCCACGACCACCCCTTCCACCATCTCTACCACCATACCCTGAATCAGTATGTCCACCTCGTCCCCCATCACGGCCACCAGTACTGGAAGCCCAACGTCTAGGCCTTCCCATCCCACCACCACGTGAAGCCATATCACGAAGTTCTGCAGGTACCCGCTGGTTTGCTCCTTCTAGAACTTTGATGAGATCTGAAGCATACTTCGAATCCTGATCACCAAAGAATGTATATGCCAATCCAGTTGCACCTGCCCTTCCAGTCCTCCCAATCCTATGAACATAATCCTCAACTCCAGTAGGGAAGTCATAGTTGATTACCACCCTGTGAAAGATATTAGTAAATGCAATCATTATTATGACGTACTTACACAGCAGATGTAAAACATTAAAAACCAAAAGTTTCATAAGTGACTCATTTAAGCTATAGAAGTATAAAGCAATGGAACCATGTATCAGAAATCCCAACCCCTACCTGATGTCTTTAATGTCCAATCCCCGAGCAGCAACATCAGTAGCAACAAGCACTGGTGACCTCCCAGTGCGAAACTGACTTAGTACATAGTCCCTGTCAGCCTGAGATTTGTCTCCATGGATAGCAGTAGCTCCAAATTGCCGACTGAGGTTTCGAGCGAGTTGATCACACATCTTCTTGGTTGAACAAAAAATAATAATCTTGGATCCTGGTTCTTGGGAGCGCAGTATCTGCTCCAATCTTCTGTGTTTTTCCATTGGTGATAATACTTCAACATACTGCAAGATATCAGAAAGATAAATTTATCAGCAACTATATAATAAAAGTAACCAATCATTCACAATAAAATATTAAATAACTTTCAGATTCCCAAATCTACATTAAATTAAATCAGGATTAGTTGTAAGGGAGTTCAAACCTGCGTAATAGACTTGTTTGCCACAAGCTCATCAATATTGCCAATGTTGACCTGAACAGGATTTACCAGTAGATCTGCTGCAATTTTCCGGACTTCCCTTGGCCATGTTGCAGTGTACATGAGAGTCTGCCTGCGAGTAGGCACTTCTTTCACAATTTTCCGTATTTGAGGTTCAAAACCCATGTCTAACATTCGATCAGCCTCATCTAACACAAGGTAAGAAACTTGATGGAGGCTGATTCTCCTCATCTCTAGAATATCATTTAACCGGCCAGGAGTGGCAACAATGATATCTACCCCTCTCTCAATCTCTCTCAATTGAGGACCTTTTGGTGCTCCTCCATACAAACACTGCACAGAAACATATGAAACTAACATCAGTAAAAAATCATAATTCTACCTTCACCTTTGAAAGACTTCTATGTTAACATTATTGAAGAAATTGGAAGACAATAAAAAACTACAAAAAAATTGAACAAATTGAAGTCCTGATTCAAAGAATGGTAACATACTGTGCAACTAATTCTTGATGACTTCCCAAACTTGTGAGCTTCATCTTGTATCTGAGTAGCCAACTCCCTTGTTGGTGACAATACTAACACAGTTGGACCCATTTGAGGATCATTGTGGCAACGCTTGAGATGCATAAATCCAGGAATTAGGTAACCCAATGTTTTCCCAGAACCTGTTTTTGCAATGGCCACTATGTCTCTACCTTGCAATGCAATTGGCCACGACTGAGCCTGAATTGGGGTTGGAGCAGAAAACCCAGCATTGTGAACCTGTTAAAAGCAAAAAAAAAAAAAGAAAAAAAATTCCAGCAACCTCGGTGAGCAGAAGTATTGCCCTCAAGACTTATGGTTTTCTTTTAAGAGTTATAGAGGAGTGGCTTATGTCAGAAGAAGCACCATCCCCCATATGCAAGCAGCCAATGCTTGCTGACGCAAGTTGGAACAGGAGGAGGCCTCTTCTTCCGTTCGGACCGAGTGGCAGACTGAATCATCATCTATGGCAGTCCTGGCCACGAACTTGGGTCATTCAGAAAGCCCTTCCCAAAATTGGTCCACCATATAAGGGCGCCCCAAATTATAAGCAAAGGCCCCCACAGAGGGCACCACAGCGTACGACATTAGCTCCTACAAGGAGCAAATATCGCACCTGCGACAAAAAGTAAAGATGGCAAAAGAATTAACATGAGTCTGACGCTTAACATTGGGACCTCCAGCAATGACATAACTTTGAACAAGAAACATTCAACTTGCATAGTTCGACTAACTTACAAGATTCAACTTTCAAGTCCAACAATGTTGTAAAGACCAAAAGGATAAAGGAGAAGCAGAATAGTATACCTCTCTAAGTATCTCAGAAGGGAAGCCAGTAGATTCAAATGATGAAAAAGGTGGGGGCACTTCATCTCCCTGAAAAGATTTAAGAAAAAAAACAATTAGAGTCACATGGGATAGTAATGCGCCAAGCACAATGAGATTTTCAGAAGCCCAAGTGTCTAATAAAAATAAAAAATAAGATGGTTAATAAACTACTTGTAATTATCACCTATATACTCACAGTTACTGTTATCTCATGCTGACGGCGATAAACATCACCGGACAAATTAGATCCCCCAGCCATTGATCCATGTCCCCTAGCAGAAGATCCTCCAATCACAGAGCTGGAAGTCCCATTAGGTGTATTATGGGAATGCACTGCTCCACCTCTTGCATTCTATGCAAAATTAAGAACATTAAATTAATACTAGATAGAAAAACAAACATATATACCTATTCATAAATTCCCACTTCAGATGCCTGAACTTATGTAATTTTAAAAAACCCAAGCTTTAAGAATGTTGATAGACTAAAAGAAAAAATTACAAGTAGCTTGGATGAGAACATGAATCCAAGTCTCAAAATCAAATGTGACAAAAACTGAACACTTAAGCCACCAGAAAGAAAAGGGACATACTTCAGTATCAAATAAGACCGACAAGAAAAACCAGATCAATCAAATGTCTGATTTAGAGGACAGAAGTAGAACAAAAACCTGGTTACTCCTTGATACTGGCTCAAGTTTTGATATAGCGTTGCTACCTCTTCCATACTGATCATTTTCCTTGTCAGGACTATACCCATGACGTCCTTGAGAAGATTGCTGAACTTGAACTGAAGAACCCATAGGCACAGAAGAAGATTTTGGGGCAGAATCTACGCTTGTAGGCCTCTCATATTGCGTGACATTCGTTACTGGATTCCAAAAGTATAGATAACCAGTTTTCCCATCAACTAGGCCTTTCCATGGTTTGGGAAGAGTAGGGTCTGGCGGAGCATATCGTGGACCAGCAGAAGAGGCAGTCGCAGTGGCAGCCATAGCAAGAAAAGCCACCAACAAAAATCTGCAAGACCCAAAAATTCCGAAGGCACAAATGAGAAACTAATAAAAGCAACCAAAAATACAAACGCAGATGGTAAATTTCTTGAAGAACCAAAACCATGAGTTGATCTTGCATTCCACTTATTTTTTCATTTATAATCAATCATTATTTTTGCTTTTTGTCACTTTTGCCCTTTTAGCTACTTTTAAGGAAGCAAAAAGCAAATACCAAAAAATAGCTAGCAAAAGGAGAAAGAAACGAAGCCTTAAAGAAAATATGCATTTGGATTCTAAGAAACGTAAGGAAATGCATGAGAAAAAACTTCTAAGCCAAATCAAATACAAATTAAAGACTGAGCTACTTAATTGCCTTTAAATTGCCTTTTCCAATAACCAAAACACTGCTAAGAAATTAATCCATAAGCTTAAAATTTTAAAATTCCCAGATCCAGAAATGCCCTGAAAAGCACAAAACAGAGCTCATTCAATCTTCAAACTTCACAAATAACAAGAAATAACCCCAACCAGATGCTTTACATTCAAACAGATAAAAGATTCAAGACCAACACGAAAATCCCAATGCTTCTAATCATATTTTATCAACAAACAATCAAAACCCTAACCCGAACTTAACCAACATGTAAATTATCAAACGAGAATTGAAATTTATTGATAAATTAGAATCTAGAACCCTAGAAATCCACCTTTTATCAATTTCTTGAGGGGATCGAGATTGGAATCTAAAAAATTTAATCCTTCAAATCAGATCTGAAAAACTCAAGAGAGAATTTAAGGAAATCAAAGTACCTAACGGTGTCGCTTCGCGGAAGATGAAGCGAGAATCGCTCTTTGTGTTCGAGTAGAAACCCCTTTTTTTCCTCTCAGTTTTCTCTTCTCTTTGCGTTTCCTCTTATCTTTGCTGCGCGCTTATAAAGAGAAGAGAACGGGCAGAGGGAAAGTTGGAAGAGGAGAGGAAAGTGGCGGAGAGATCAAAGGCTTATATTTATAGGCTATACAGCAACTACCTTTCTTTTGGAAAAATTGTTATTTTAATTTGGATTGAAGTAAAACAAATGAAAGTGGTTGGATTATTTTTTTCACCGTGGTTAAAATGGAGGGGGCATGCATTTGGACACTTGGCTTTTTATTAAAAAAGGAAGGAAAATAGTGAGAAACTGAGAATAAATCCATAATGGACTGCGAATAAAGGGTACCTTGTTTTTGTCGGAAGGGAGTTTTTTTTTTTTTTTTTTTAAGAAAATAATTTTTAAGGCCAGTCAAAAAGGTTACTCAAGTTTACCAATTTTTTTTTCTTAGATGTGATGTGGTATTTGGGCTTATGAAATGCGTATCAGTTTTTGTACCTTCCTCTGTTCTAAATTTTTAACAATGGTTTGGGCTTTAAATATATAGCTTTAGTCCATGCTGATGGGTATTTGGGCTTTGCTAAAATTATTTTGAATTTTGTATAATTTTAAAATAGTTTTAAATATGACAAAAATAATACATAAATTATATGAAAACAATCCAAATTAAAATTTTAATATATGATTTTGATACTAGAAAGAATGAAAATATGAATTTGAAATTAAAAGAAAAAGCTGAAAAAAAATTTTTTTTTTTGGTGCTGTCATTATGAACTGTGACTGTGACTAGATAATTTTCGTAACACATTCGAATTGGCAGGCCTTTCCAAAACATTTACAAGTTACTCCATATCATAGAGGATTCCCAGGACAGCTGCAAGCTCAGCTTCCAGCTCATTTGCTGCACTTTTGAACGTGAACAATAAAACCTTTTCTTCACCATCATCCAAACAGTGTGTTAACTCTCGAGTAAAATGGAGAGATGCCCAATGACAAATATATTTAGTCAAAAAAAAAAAAACAGCATCCAACGACTTTCCCATCAACTTTAATAATTTTCACTTCCCTTTGACTTTAATGTTAACGGTTTGAATGAATGTAAGACATTATTCAATGTTATGTTCAGACAACATTGAGGATGCAAGAAAAAAATAAATTGGAATCAAATCAAGTATTCATGAATGAGACCCTTCACATGAAATCATTGATTCCTCGCCGTTATACATTTAACCAAGTCTAGTATACGACAATAATCAAAGAAGAGTGCAGAGTCTTTACCCTCGAGTCCGTCTCGATGATGTCTGTTGCTACCAGTAAGATTGTTACATGGACTCCCACCAACGACAAGGTCGAATCCACCAAATCTACTCATCAATTGCTCCAACCGATCACCGTTCAGTTCTTGCACATCTGGTATGTCAATCAAAGTCCCTCTCTGATTAGTTTGCTCCCACCAACTCCGAACAAGATTTCTGTTCACTTCCGATATCTCCACTGATACCACATTCTTCAAAGGGATGCCAAGTCGGTGGAGGGCAACCTCTGCACCACCAATCCCAGAGAAAAGAGACAGGAGATTGATACCTTCAGGGAACATGTCTTTTAAAACCGATAAATGATAAGCCACTGTGTCAACCTGAAAGAAGTTATTCTATAAGCATAATGCCACAACCATAGACTTCAAGTACATGGGAAAACAAAATGAAAGAATTAATTGAAATTTTGGATAATAACTTGAAATAGTTTAAATACTTTGCATTCTAAAATTTTTTGCAGGATCGAGGACATTCATGCATTCTAATTAGTATTACACAAAAATTTGTCAAAAAACATGAAAAAGAAGGGGAAAAATCATGCACCTGAAATGAGTTACCAAGTGATTTATATCTATCGGTCCGACTAATTCCCCGTGTGTGATTTCTAGGGAAACCCAAAAGCATTTCCACTTCATCAGGTTCAAGTGGAGCAACTTTATTCCTTCCAACCCAGACCAGATTCCACTTTCTGCATTGATCAAGAACGAACTTTTGGACACTCAAAGGTGGCTCATCATGATTATGTTCAAGAGCTTTGCGGATCCTATCTGTCAATCTCGCACTAGCTGTGCATGTTTGTAAACAGTTCAACTTTGTTCTTGTGTCCCATGAAGGCCACCATTTCCTCGTTAATGGAAAAGCTTCATGTATGGTGCGCGGTGGAAATGGAAGAAGGGGAAATCTGTTATCGATTGGCAGATTATGAATATAACCCCTTTTCCTTGCAGCAGCACAAAAATACTTTGAATCAACAAACTCTGGCTCCACATCATATAAGAACCGTGAAATGGTGCTCCAAACCCCTTTTGGAGCAAGTGCCACATTCTCATAGTAGAAATAAGGAGGCCCAATAGCAGCTTCTGGAAGTTTTCTATGAATGATCTGATCTGATTCAGTAGGGACCCCAAAACCAATCATAGGATTTGGAAGGTGAAGTGCATCATCAATTTCATTAAGCCTCTTTTCGAGCTTCATCTGCTTCTTCCTTTTCCACTTATCATAGTCCAAGTTTCGCCTCTTCTTGTGATTAAAGTCATTGCTAAATGGCTTCTGTAAAATTAGATGGAAAATCATTGGTCTAAGTTTTACTGAAAATAGTATGAAGAAAACTACAGCAAAATGACATACCGTTAATTAAAAAGCAAGTAAAAAAAGAACAAATTACAAAGGATTTAGAGAGAGTGTTACAAGTCTGAATTCTTAGAAAGGGGAAAGAAACTACCTTGTCTTCGAGGGGAAAAAGTGCATCGGCAGCTTTAGCCATTTGAGCAGCACATATAAAGTCTGTCAACTCTGCAATTGAGGAGTCTGGACCTGCAATATTGAAAGAGTTAATGTTAAGATATTATATGATTCTGAGTTCTTAAGTATGCCCCACTCACTTACAAGTTAAAAAAAGGCCCAGGATAACAACTAAGAAGTATCACAAAAAACTTCTCCTATAAAGATTGAAGACCAAGGGTGCTACCAGAAAAGTTCATAGTTGAACACTTCCGATTCTCTACAAGACATTGGGGCAAATTTATTATTGTGACTATAAAGCGCAAACCATCTATGGACCATCCGGACTTGCAACTTGGATACTTTATAAACAAAGAATAACAAAAATAAGACTTGGTCTTGACAAAAATGACAACTTATTTTATTCGTTTTATGTTCAATCAAAGATGACAAATATGAAATATCACCATTTTTAATATATACAGGTAAATACAATGGAACTTCCTGGGATCTATTCTCCCGTCCAATTGAAACTTTGATATCCTACCTACAATCAGCGAGAATAACGTGCAAAGAAATATCGCAAATATGAACCAAAAAAACACATACCACATCTCTCCATGGCTATTGAAGCCTCCACCTCTGAGAACCCCATTTTTGTCAAGTGTAACAATTTTCTCTCCTCATCAGAATCAGGATTCATGAATTCCTAGAATATAGAAATATAAAAAGCAAAAACAAACATAAATCATCTGCAAGTATAAGGCAATTAAAAATTCTGCTATTGTGAAATATAGATAATTATTCACTAAATGCAAATGCAAGCACTAAAGAACACATTATGCTATCCATGCAGCTAGAAAAATGAAAAACACAAGCCCTTTTAAGATTAAAATTTTCTCATTGGTACAGAAGATAATTTTTAGAAATGTCTGCAAATTAGGCAAATGAAAATGTATCATCAAAGTTTAGATACCTCAGTCTCAGAAGAACTATCAGTATCTGAGAAATCATCCAGAAAACTCCCTTCATAATCTGATGAGCAGTAACCAGAATCAGCAATTTGCTGCATGGGAACAGATTTTTCAAGAGCCTGCAAATTTTAAAAAGGTCATTCATGACAGCATAGAGAGAGTAAACAACTCCATTAAAAGATACTCCAGCAACTTGCAAAGACAATTCTATTTGGGGAGGATTGGCAAATATAACCTGAACCACTAAATATGTAGGTTTCCTATTACATCAAAATCAAGATTTCTATTAACGCAAACTGGTTTTTCTCCCATAAAAAGGTGTGCTTCGTAAAATGCTCAGTAAACACAGGGACTGGAAACAAGGTTCAGGTGTAAACTTACCGAATACGTCAATAGAGTCTCCAATATGGTATCTGTATTTCCCTCTCCTAAAAATATAACGAACAGGATCACAGATAAAGCTGTTGAGGTGAAAACTGATGTCTAATAAAATGAGAAAGGGCCATTACCGTTTTCCTGCACTGCTTTAACAACCATTTCTTCAGAGAACCCCATCCCTACAAAATGATCGATCAACTTGGAATTGGAAGAACTAGCTAATGAGCTTGCCTTCACATCAAAAAGGGGAAGGAAGTATTAATAATGTTATGAATTCTGCACACTAACACATCAACAATTTAATAGTAAAAATTCTGCCATGAGTGTGTGTTGCAACTTTCTAGCATCATGATGCATGTAATTTACAAGCATCTTAGAAGGACATACACAATAACTCACCGAGTACTGAAGAAGAGTTTCAAGTATCAAATTTGAGTTTTCCCCCCCTGGACAATTGTCAAAGCAGAATTACAAATGAGTTTAAGGCTGAAACGTTTGCTGTAAGTAAAAAAGACCTAGAAGCTTCACCATTTTCTTCAATCACTTTGGCAACCATTTCTTTCGAAAACCCCATTCCGACAAAATGATCAATTATCTTGGAATTGGGAGAATCCGCACCCAAGCTTGCCTAGAGACAGTAAAAGTTAATTATGAGTTAGATATGAAATTATTTTGTCTCTTAACCATTATATGCCTGGAAAAGCTACATGTTAACTACAACAGAGAAAATTAACGTCTGCAAACGTAGGTAGCATATTTGTGCATAATTGTGGTAGACAACAAAGCCAAAAGAGTTGAGCTCAGTGAATAAATGCAACAATTTTACTGCACTGGAGGCTAATTTGAGCCAAGCAAATTAAATCATATGACCAACAAAACAGAATATGAACGATAGATTTGAGCTTCTAATAGAAGAAAAAGTTCAGAATAAAGCAGTACATGAAAAGAAGATGCAAAATTGCAGAGGCCTCCAGTAAAAATTGCATAAAAGGTCACCTAATGCTCCATTTTCTCAACCAATTCCCATAGGAACTCATCAACGAATGATCGATAACCAAATGTATAATGTTTCTTTGAAAACTACAACTCAAAGAAAATTATCATACACCTTCCTTATAATCATTAAAACAATTTGCATGTTCAAAACCTGATTAGTACAGCAACCAGAATACTGTTACAGAATGCCATGTGCAGCAATTACAAATAAGCACGTACCTCTGCTGCACCCAAAACAGCTTCTCCATGAGGAAGTGACACTCCTGAATGGGAGGAGATGGTATAATTATCAATTTCCAGCTCATCTTCCGTATCCCAGTTAAAATTATCAGCATCCCCACCAGAACTATTTCCACTCTATAGAAATTACATATAAACATACAAACGCATCATATCAGTACAAATAAAAAAATTGAATTATAAAGAATAATATTTTCGTTTCTTTTAGTCAGTCAAATAATACAACTAAATCTAGTCCATAACTAAGAACTTGTTAAGAAATACAGGAAGGTCTGGAAGGATATTAAAATGACACAAAAAAAAAATTAGAAATAAATATGAAAACTAACTAAAGAGTACCATTTTCCTTGAGCTATGGTACGGCCCAAGAAAACCTTCTTAACCTGTAAAAGAAACAAATGAAGATAGATCAGAACCTAGGGTAAAATATCAACAAAAAACCATAAAATTAAACAATTTATCAACAGCCAAAATACTCTTAGGTTATTACATGCCTTGCTATGAAATTTGCTAATGTCGATAAAAGGAATGAAACTCAGTCAATGACTCCTACGTAACAATAACAATAACAGCAACAACAAAGTAAGCCTTTCTACATTACATAGAAACAACCGTATCCTCAGTAACCTATGAAAATTGAAGGTCCATTTCCAAAAATATTCGCAATCAACAACTAAAAACGCAAGATTCTTCACTTCTAGTCATTAGATCAAGTTAAAAACAAGGTGGCTTAAGCTTAACCATTCAAATTACTAAGAGCTTAAGAACCCCCACCTAAAAGGACATTACCCAAAACAGGAGAGTCAATATTTTTTTACACTAACCATTGAGAAACATAGCATACCATTTCCGCTCTAGAATCTAAATAATAATAATAATAATAATAATTTATATTAATTTTTTAAAAATTTTAGTACATGCAATTCAATACGGTTTCCTAGCTAAAAAATTATTTTATATTAATTTATTAGAATACATTTATAAAAATATTACAGTTTTAATTTATAAACCTAATTTTTTTAATAATATACCATTATTATTAAAAACAAAGAAATTAGAATATAATACAGATAAATACACTATCTGCACAAAATTCGATGCCAAAATTTGACTCTCTCTTGCCTATCACAAAAAAACAAAATAGAAATAAAACTTAGGCTTGATTTTCGTTTCGTTTGTTACTTTTAATTTTTAATTTTTGCTTTATGCTTTTTCTTTTTTTTTTGTTTTTCACCTTTTTATTAAAAGAAAAAAAAAATCCAACATCCAATGAATACGGAACCTTAGTTTGAACGTAAAGAAAAACAAATACTTTCTCAACAGCCAAACAGAAAGAGCAAAAAGAAACACATCAGCGAAACGCCGAATCCTATATTAAACCGAGAAGAAACTATCGGAATCAACGGAAACAAACACTAATTAAGCTAGAATCAATTTGTTAAGCGATAAAACTTACCTCAACCAATCGAAGACGAGAATCTTAACTTGATCCTGAAGCTATCCCAAAGAAATTCGAAAATGCAGTTCAAAAACAAACGGTTAAAACGAAGAGCAAAGGTGAAACATGCACGAACTGAAAAGGTAAATATACAAAATTGAAGGTTTTGATTAATGGAAGTGAATTTTTTCTTTTCCTTCTTTAGAGTGAAAAGAAAAGAGTGAGACGAAATAGAAGGACAGAGTCTTGTCTATTTGGTGTGCGGGAATCTGGTTTCTTTATTTTTTGAGGGGCAGTGAATAAAAAAGTAAATTTTTTACATCACGGCTCGATGAGGTTTTGGCTTGGTCAGTAGTACGGAACATACGTGCTACTAGTAGGGTCGTTGGGTTTATCAAGCTTGATTATCCTTTGAATTTAATTAAAATTGATTAAATTTTTTCTAAAATTTTATGATTTTAAATAGGTACAATTAATTTTCTTTTAAGAATTTTGAATTTTTTTTAACTTTTTTGGATGATGGCTTTTAGTTTTCAATTGATTCTTTCGGTTTTGATTTTGAAAATAAAATTACGGGATTATGTTGTTAAATAGTTTAACGGTAGTATCTAAATTTTAATTCAATTAATTTATATAATTTTTTTAATTTATGATATTTATAATATTTTTATTTTAAATTGTGATATTTTATAAAAATTAATTGGACGATAAATTCAAAGCAAATAACGATAGTAATTTATATGTGTATGTGTACATGCATGTAAGATTAATTTTTCTCTTCTTTTGTTGCAAGTTGACAAGACCTACAATTAAAAGATAGGACATTGGATTTAGGGTCTGTTTGGTTATTAAAATTTTTTAAAAAAAATTTATAAAAATAACCAAAATGTATTTATGGCTAAACTAATTTTTTATTTCGTTTTAGTAAATATTAAAGTGATGTTAAATATCAAAGCGTGACATTTTGAAGAATAATAAAAGAATTGTTAAAAAATGAATTCAATAATAAAATAATTTTATAATATTCATTCATATTAAATGAATTATAAAATATTTTTCGAATCAAACACACCCTTAAATTATTCAGAACATCACGTGATATTGTCTGCTTTATCTTACTTTTTATTTTGTCATTGTGCTAGATTCTTACTTTTGTTTTGGAACAATAATTAGGGATAAAATTGTAAATTAATAAAAATGCTGAGCTGGATTCCAACTTCCATTAAATATTTATGTAAATAGTCAAAGATTAAGATATAATTATTTATTATTGATAATAAATTTTTAATACAATATTATATACGTTAAATTTTAAATTTATTAAATATTACATTTAAAGTATGATTATATGAATTAAATAAATTAAATGATGAATTTTTATTTTCATTTATTCTATTATAACCGTTTATTTACATAAAACTTATATATAATTAGTATATAAAATAAATTAATAAAAATGGAATAACAACTATACATTAAATTTTTTACTGATTTTGTCCCTTGCAAGTGATTTATAATTTTATGTACCATTTTTTCAAGATAAGGGTAAAGAGGTAAACTCACAACACCATTGAGTTGGTTTTTTCTCTCTCTCCAATATAGATAGGTTTAGACTAAATATTTAAGGTTAAAATGCTAAAAAAATCTTTAATTAACTTATTTTTAAAATAAATTTTATATTTTATTATATTTAATAAAATTTTATTCTTTAATTTATATTCAATTAAATTTTATTTTAAATAAAAAAGTAATTAGTGTTAAAAGTTTGTTTAGGCATAAATTAAAAATTATTTATTTATTTGAATATAAATTAAAAATTAAAAACTTATTACGTGTGTAAATTAAAAATTAAGAGTTTATTAAGATGCAATAAAAATATAAAAATTTATCTAAATAAAATGATAATATTTAAGAAATTTTTTTGTTATTTTAGTCTATTTGTATCTTAACATTACTTATTAAATCAATAATAATGATTTATTAATATCTTTTAAATTTTATATAAAAATTATTATTGAAATAAGATATTTGGAAAAAAATTTTAAGGATGAGTTTCTGATAAGTTTAATCAATCTAACAATGTGAAGGGTTTTATAATCAAAATTTACGCTATATTTGGATACATATAAATAAAATAAATGAAATGAAATGAAAGATTTTAAAGGAAAAAAAAATGTACATGTACCCCTTATTTTGATAGTCAAAAATTAATAAAAGAAAAAAAAATTTAACAATAATTATTTAGATAAAAAGCTAAAAAAATAAAATAATTAATTATAATATTTTTTCAATTATAAAATAACACATAATATATATATATATATTTATACTACATAGTTTGTATAAACAACTATTTTTAAACAAAATTAAGTATATTTAATATGATAAGATGTATTAGTTTATTTATTCTGACAATGATTTGGTTTGTTTTGTTGTTAAAACTTGAAAAATCATAAAATATTTATAAACTGTGATATTATATAAAATACTCATAAAAAATTATTTTTATAAAAAATATTAGTTATATAATAAAACATAATATCATAATAAAAATATAGATCTAATAATCTTTTTATAAAAATAAAGTTGTTTCAACTTTCTTTTCTTTAGCTTTTCTTCCAAATTAAGGTATTACAAAAGTGAGAATTATAAAAAAAACCAAAATTTATTAAGTTTTCACTTTTTTTTTTATTTTAAATTAAAAATTTGTTCAAATAAATGAAATGTTTTTCTGTTTCTATTACTTTATTTTATTTTCTTTTTATTTTCTTTCCCTCGCTTCAATCCAAACATAGTGTTAGGTTATTCATTTCATTTGCATGAATATAGTAAGTTAGTCATTCAATTTGATACAAAAACTTTTATAAATATTATATTATATTTCCAATAAAAATACTTGTATACAAATTATTTTTCTTGATTTTTTTTTCTTTATACTTTTAATTTCAATCCCTTTTTAACAAAAATTAACTGAATTTTCTGTTAATGCAAGTGCCAAATGTGTGTTAATCCTTGTTATTGTTTTCTAAAATCAATAAAATTAAAAATATAGTAACAAATTTCAACAAATTGAAATATAACAACAAAATTCTAATAAAACACTATATCATTTGCATAGTTTATTGGTAATTCATATATTTGTTTTTATTTATTCCGTATCTAATTCATAAAAAATATATAAAAATGATTATGTTATAATTCATATTAACATTAAACACAAAATATATTTTTAAATTTTGTCAAATTTCTTTATAATTTTTGTTAAAATTTTAAATTATATTATTTTTAATTTTTTCAAATCGTGCTTGAAATGATCATATCTAAATAAAAATAATAATAATAAGCTAGAAATAAAATGTAATTATAGTTTACATATTTGGGACTTGATCTTTAATAATAATTGCATAATTATGAGGCATGAGCTTGAGTGTTGCTTCTGATGAGATCATCTCTGACCATGACTCTGAATTTGATGATAATGTCCTGAGCTGGAGTGGTTGCTCAAGATGCGTCAAAAGAAGGGTCAGTCAAAAACTGCTCCATAGTCATGGTTGCACGGCTGCGTCCACGCTTTCAACTTCTGAGCTGTTTGCCGGGACCGGGAAGACTCTGGCTCTGGACAGATCGGCGATCCATGGTGGAGTTTTTAAATCTCTGGACAGCAACGAGTGTATTCCTTGGCCATTCTAACATAATAACTTGAAAATACTGGTTAAATGCAGAATTTCATAGCATTACTTGAGCGTCAAAACACGTTCCAAAGTTCGAAAAACCTACTTCCAACGCCCCTTTAACTATTCTTTATCTTGCAAGTCACTCTAACCTCCTAATCAGCATCCCAGAAAGGCTCCCAGCCACCGTACCGAAAATACCGTCGACAAACAGAACAGGCCACGTTGTGTCAAATGTACATTAGATGAAAAGAAAAATACAACAAAAGAGATGATACATGCAAATACAATTACAGATCCCAACCATTTAGTGCCACAATTTAAGAGCCCTAACAATATCTTGTCTCCGTAGCCAAAGCAAAATACAGCAGCCTCTAAAGTCCAGACTGTCTGGTTGAAATTCACAGGTTAGTCATTTAGATAACATGGAAGACAAATTAACACATTTTCTTTGTACTGATGAATGTAGTTCTTTCAGTTTAGAAGCCAAGGAAGTGGCACTGCTTTTGAGCCTGTTCCAGTATCAGCTTTGCCAGAAGCTCCAAACTCGCTCCTTTTAGCTCTACCATATCATGATTGGAGAGAAGGGCTCGGTAAGCAACAATTTCATGAGTTCTAAAAAAAATGTGGATAAAATGACAAACATTGAGGTTTGAAGTTGAATAGTCGAGGCATAGGGCGCCCGTTAGGAAGGCGAGCATTAGGGTCACAAAGTTCATCAAAAAATGGATGGATACAGGCCTCTAACTGCAAATATAAATGAATCATGTGGTAATTTAATTTAAAACACAAAATCAGAAGAGAAATCACGTGAAAGTTGCATGGTTCCACCAAATGTCAAAGATTTAAACAAGCATCCTTGCATTTATTTCATGAAAGCACCCTCATAGAAAACAATTTTGGTGGTGGAGAACAAAATTACCATAGCATTTGACATGAACAGCATTGCATGATAAATCATTTGACTTAAAACCGATATTAGTATGTTCTAAAACACAAGCACCCAAGTAAGAAATACTTACTGCAGTGCACCTCAGATTTGGAGAATATTGGAGGAGCCTTTAGACAAGATCAACTGCGTCTGGAGGCATGCGCTTGTGGAATATCTGTGATAAAAGTTAGATGGATTAATTCACAATAAGGCATGAAGAGATATAATTAGTGAAAAATGATCAACCCAGAAACTATTGTGCTCACTTTATGCCAAGGATGAGCCTTAATTTGAGGGAATTTGAACTCTGTATAGTTTGGATTCATGCATTTTATCCCCTCCCGAGTTGGCGTCCCAAGTACCAAAAAGATTTTTAATTAAGTTCATTTATCCGATTAACGGTTGCATCAATTTTTTGGTGCATTTATCGATACAAATTCCACCTCATGCCACCAAGTTTGAAATGAAAATTACCTTAATAATCCCAACAAGCTGATCAACTCCACTCTCACCAGGAAAGAGAGGCTATGAAGTTTGATAGCCAAAAGAGAAAAGAAAACATCTGTGTTTAGATTCACTTTCTACTTTATATTTGGTATAAAACTATAATTTTCTAGCATGTTAGGAACCTGTCCAAGAAGCAATTCAGCAAGGACACAACCAACAGACCATATGTCAATTGCAGTTGTGTACTCTGTTGCCCCAAATATGAGTTCAGGTGCTCGATAATATCGAGAACAGATATATGATATATTTGGCTCGCCTTTGACCAGTTATAAGACAATGGATGATAAGCAATACAAACACTGCATGGACGAAAAGTAGTACAGTTTAGATATATTGAGAAAAATCAATAGCAAAAAGAAAAGAAGCAAGATACGTAGTTACAAAAGTTATATATCTTATATAACATTTTTGAGAAAATGACAACACCAATACTCATATCGACAATGAAACGGAGCAACATTGTAATTTCCAAATAAGAATTATGAAATAATCAAGAAGACTATACCAGAACTTTTGCGCTTCCAAAATCACATAGCTTGACCTGATGAGTATGGGGATTAACCTGCAGCAACGAATTTTATTGCTAAATACCATTACCATCTAGTCATAATACAGGACAAAAGTAAGATTCAGATGCTAACCAGAAGATTCTGTGGCTTAATGTCCCTGTGGCATACACCAACACCCCCATGGATATATGCCAAAGCTCTACAAATCTGCCAAAATTCATTGCATACATAAAACTCGTAAGATCAAGGTTACAAGTGGACAAGATACCTCCAGCATTACAAGTTCCTTATAATCACACAAGAGAGTTAAATAGGTGCTAAATATTCACAATTAAAATATGCTTCATAGTAGGACAGAGAGTGAATAAGCATTATTGTCCATATAAATGCATGCTTATGAAGTATTGAAACTATATGGTTCTGAAGAACCAGCTGACCCTTTTTATCGTGGCACCACTAAAATCAAAATTGCGGTTGAAGATTTGGCTAAAGCTTTTCACTCTAATTAAATGCGGAAATCAAAGAGGATAGGTGACAGAAAATCATTGTAGCCATGAAAATCCATGTGCAAGTGCATCCATGATGATAGTATTGCCATTGAAGTATATTATATTCCTGAAATTCCCATAAACATATTCTTCTCCACTTTTTGTATACATTGGACCTAAGTACAAATCATGTTGCAACTATTACATATGGGTCAAGTAAAATATGTGGATGGCTTGAACTGTTACCTGGTATGTATAGAGTTTGACATATATCAGAGGCATTCGCTGATTTGCTCTACTATAGTGCTTTGCTACACGATATACAGTCTCGGGAACATATTCGAGCACCAAATTAAGATAGAGCTCATCCTTATCAGTTGTTGAAAAGAAGCAGTGCTTGAGTGACACAACATTGGGATGATCAAGTAGGCGCATTGTTTGCAACTCACGGTTTTTATATCTCTTGTCCTGTAAAACCTTCTTGATTGCTACAGTTTCTCCACTTTCTAGACACTTAGCCTGCAACATCATACGTACACAAGGCTGTAAAACTGCATTTATAAGCTTATAATAGAGGCACCTAATCAAAGTTTCTTGCATCTATGATTCAGAAATTGTCATAAAAAATCACCTGAAATACAATTCCAAAAGAGCCCTGACCAACAACACGCTCAGCCATGTAACTTATGGTCTGCAGGACAACACAAAAGGAATTTAAAGATAAGGTGGCTTAATGCATGTTGGTTCTCCACCGCTTCTAACTTAACAATGATAGTAAATCTGAAAAAGTGAGAAGTTGTGGTCTTAAATGATGGGATTAATTAGATACACATTCGTATTTATATTGCTTGTCATTGAAATGTAAACCATGAATCCAACTCCAAAGATCTAGTAAACCGATGCCATTATATTATAAACATAAAACATGTTAGAAAGTAGGCACATCTATCTGCATTTCTTAGAAACTTCAATATTTTTTAGGTCTGGCATTCCTCAATCCCAACACGATGTTAGAATATATTATATAACCAAGACATGAATAATAGTAAGATGTATAAGCTTTTACAACATGTAGAATTAAATTACAGTTCCAATTAAGAAAATATATACCTGCTTGGGTTGACCATTTCTACCACCAATAGTGGTAACTATAATATGCCCTGTTTCAGTTCCATTTCCATCCACCACTGTAGCTTCCATTTCCTAACATACAAAAGTTTCGGTACATAAAGAAGAAGTTTGTGCCATAAAGAGACAATTCGTAATATAAAGATTTGCATGGTGAGGAACCTTTTCAACTTTCTCATCCTTGATCTTCATCTCATTGATCTCCTCTGGGAGTGTGTCAACGAATGCAGTATTACCAGTAGGTTTTCCACCTGCTGAAGTGGGCGCCATACCAGTTGAAGCCATGAATGATGAATTAAATATAAGCGCTATGCTCCGAGGCTTGTTCACCGGCTGTATTTAAGAAAAGTGCATTAATAATTCAGACAAAGATACAAAATCAAGATAATCTACTTCATAAATAATTTCGACAAGACAGAAAAGAAAAATCACCATTGAGCAGACTAAGACACCACAGACAAATTAAGGTCTGCCATTGATTTCTTCCCTTGGAAAGAAAAAAAAAAAGACAACAATATTACTTATACATGAAAATGCCAAGGTTTTTTCTTAAAGCAATACACAACATTGAATCTCAGTAGACTTCAACCTACCGTTTAGAGTATTTTTTCCCCTTAATTAGGAAGAACATATGCTTAGTGGCTTAACCAAAATATTTTGGATAACCAATATCTTTTTTTTTTAAATCAATTTACTTTCCTTAATTTTTATCAGTTACCAAACAAAGCAAATCAAGTGACACAACGCGTAAAACTTTCCACTACGGCACAAACTTTCACAAACATTAACATACACCAACTTTCAAAAGTCAAAACCAAAACGTTCATTTTCCTTCTCTTTTCTTCCACTTTCTCACCATCCAACAAAACTTCCAAAAAAAATAATTAAAGAAATGTCTAACCTCTGAACTGCGTATTCCCTCACATTTTGCAGACCCTTTGATCCAAACAAAGAAAATCCACGAAGAAAAAAAAATTAGAAAGAAATATTCATATAATTTTTTGCTTTAAAATTGAGTCTTTTGAGTTTCAGAATTTTTTTTTTTTTTTTCTCTCAAAAGTTTGACTTAAGTAAGACTGTTTAGTTCTCTGTCTTTGGATGCTTTGTGTCTTATTATTATTTTTTAAAGCAAAGCGGACTCCAAACTGATTCTATAAAATCTAGTTTAACGTTAGTTTTGACATCCGTGCTCAAGAATTTGGTTCCACACGGGGCAGTAGCTGAATGGCTAGTGGCTCTAGTTACGTCATGGTGTTGACCGAAGTTTGATGCAGAAAGATGCTAGTGTGTTTATAAGTGTATGATGTGGTTTTCTGAGAACCCTTGGATTGTTTCATGATGAGAAGGAGATGAAATTGGACGGTGGTGATGATGGGGAGGATGAAGAGCGGTGAGAGAGAGTAGGTTTTACTCTTGTAATGGGACAGGGAGTTAGTTCTGTTCTAAAACGGTATCGTTTTGAAAATTACAGAGCCCAAAATGCTACTTTTTTAAACGTCCATGAAGCCCAAGGACTAACTTTTTACGGCCGAATGACTAATGGGGCATTTTGAAGACCCAAAGTGATAATTTTGGACTCACTCCTTTGCTATTTTGGTTGGTTTTTTAAAGTGGATTGATTGTTGAATTTGGACATTCGAACTATGGAAAGGTAAGTTATAGGCTAATATGGGAATTAAATTGTCAGGTAATGAATTTCATGAAGGTGAAAAAAAATCAAGTTGCAGGTTAGAATTTGGATGTTAAATAGATTTTTATTTAGGAGCATTTGACTTGTATAATCTTAGATTTCAAAAAAAAAATTATACTTAAAAAAGTGTGATACTCGAGAGAAAGTGTAATTTTTAGAGCATTTCATTTTTAGATTTTTATGTTTAGTTGAAAAAAATCTATATTTGTTAAATCATGTATTTTTATTATAATCTTATTAACAACTTGTTGGCAACCTTTCAATTTATTTTAATGGGGGACGAAACAACGTAACCTTGCCTTTATCATCAAATGAAATATAAAGATTTTAAAATTTTTTTATAATTTAAGTATACTTAATTATGACGTTTAATTTCACCTTATGCCGTAATTGAGTTTAAATCAAATATAAAAATAAAAATTTCAATTACGGTGTTTAATTGCACATAATGCTATAATTGGCTTTTAAAAAAATCCTTCAATTACGACATTTTGTTAAAACTAAACACCTTAATTGAGTAAATATAAAAATTGAAAAAAAAAATTCATTTACAGTGTTTGTTTAGTATAAATGTCTTAATTGAGTGAATGTAAGAATTGAAAAAATTAGTCAATTACGACGTTTGTTAACTATAAACACCTTAATTGAATGAATATAAACATTGAAAAAAATTTATTTACGATGTTTGTTAAATATAAATGCCTTAATTGAGTGAATATTTTTATTCAATTACAGCGTTTATTAGAAGAAACACCATAATTGAAGGAATATACAAAAAATTTAAATTACTAAATTACAGCATTTCATTTAAATACACACACCATAATTGAGTATTTTTTAAATTATAAACCCATTCACTATCCATTCTTGAAACTTGAACAACTAAACAACTAAAACCTTTCAACGAGAAACGAACAATTCATATTCACATACCAGATTGTTTTTGTTTCTTAATCTCACTTATTGCAATTGACTATGTAACTATCACCACCATCACACATTGTTTAACTATGGTAAGTGGGATTTTTTTTCTCTTTTATTCGTGTATGGATATGTATTTTTTTTTATATATTTATATACATGTTTTTATCACCTTCTTCACTGTCGCACACCCTACCTGCACTGCATGCATGGTTTTTACCCCATAAATTGTACATATAAAATAAATATATGAAAACGTTGGAGTTTTATGGTTTGCTGATTGGTTTTATGGAAAATGAGTGTTTGATGAATGTGATTTGCAATTTGCAATTTACTGCCATGGATTTGTAGACAAAAAATTAAGTTGAAAGCACACATGTCTATTGGAATGGTCTTATTATTTTGTTCCTATGTGTATTGCATGGATTCTTATGATACAACGACACACAGTATGGCTCGTTTTGTATATTCAATTATTAGTTTTTTCCTGTGTATTGCATATTGGTGTATATATTGTGTATTTACTATATTGCATATTGGTGTATTTACTGTATGAATATGTATTCTTTCAAGTTTGTTGTATTGTATATCAGTTTGTTTTTTACATTTTATATAATTATGATCAAAATCACAGATAACATGGTTTTAGAAAAACATATGTCTCCTTTTACCGCACACGAAGAAAACACACCGACCTTGAAAAAAAAAATCTAGGGGATGTGGTAAACCACTTAAAGTGAGTAAGGAAAAAATTCACGTGGAGTTCAATCAAGATTGATAGCCTATGTTAAGTAAAGATGCAAAATTGGCTAGCCTTAGAGCTGTCATCTAGTAGACTTTATCCATTAACTACCATAGTTGGAAGATGGTTTAGATGATAAGAAAAATAGCATATGGGATTCGGTTGTGGTAAGTTTTTTCAATGAAATTAAAAATAATTCATATTTATTGTTAATTGTTTATGGAATGAAATTATTGTATTGAGTTAATTTAATTAAATCTTTTTATAGGAACTAATTGACGTATCATCCGAGTACAAGAAACTTGTGTTGAAATCTACTGAAAAATATTCAAAGACTTTAAGAGCAAATTAACAACTAAATATATTTTACCGTTTGCTGATAATTTTGAATTGTTGTCTCATTCTCCTACGACATATACATATGTTATCAATGATGTAGAGTGATCGCAATTTGTTTGAGAGTGTTTATAAAATGAATCATCGGTGTGCATACTAAGCTTCTTGTGTTTTTAGAATATATTGTTTAATCTAATTTTATGTTAATATGTCATTGATTTTTTTTTCAAAAAATAAAAATAAAAAAATAAAAGAACATACAGGCCTAATAAGTGTTTTACTATTGAACATCGAAAAAGGGTTATGCAAATATAAAGTATGATCTTGTAAGTATTCAAACACTTTTATTATATTCATAGATGAATATTATGAACTTCATTAAATGAAAATTAAAAACTTATATTGATTAATGGTCTCAAAAAAATTCAGTCTACAAACCAAAATACTAAGATATGACGTTTGCAAAAAAGGGCATATGCCCAAAAATAGATTGTATGGGAATGAAGCAAATGAAAAATGACTAAAAAGATTATATGTTCATTTCATTTTTATATCACATATGCTTAATGGGCTTTTATGCATGAATAAATATTATATTTAGTTGGTTATTCACCGTCATGTTAAGTATTTCAAGATAAATTTGTTACAAGATATAAATTCAAAAAGCTATGAACCGATTATAAAAAAGATCTTTTGTCCATAGCTTTAGGATCAAAATGAGAGATTTAGTCATGTTCAAAGGGTTAGGAGATTTGTCTCTCCATCACAGTTCTTCAAGAATCAACTGAGACCCTACTCAACGAAGAATGCTGAATATGAAGTAATAATTGAGTAGCAACAACAATGACTTAATGAGCAAAAACAACGTCATAATAAACAACAATAATGACTCATAACATTGGAGGTAATGTTGGCATCAATGCAATCTAATATGTCTCAGGGTCAGTTTGTTATCGACATCTAGCTCGAAAATGAATTTGCAAATCAAGTCTTACAGCAAACTTTTTTTTTTATAATCATCATTATGGTTTTTTTTAATTTAGTTATTTTTTTAATTTGATTTATGTTTTTTGAAATTGTTAATATGAATAATATTTTATATTTGTATTCTCAGATGTTCAGCCTCAGATCATCATACCTATGTAGTCTGTCATGAATGTGGTATCCACTTTTGCATTTAAGCATTTACTAACGGAAGACTGCATAACCATGGAAGTCGAGCATGAATTATTTGATTATCACTTGATGACATTCATAAGGTAATCAGAGATTGAAGCATTTTGTGAGATGAAAAAAATATCGACTGCTGAAATTGTTGCATATATGAGGATAACTTATAATTTAATTTTAATATATTCTCTGAATACTATTTTTTTATGTTGTGTATAACGGTACAATATTGTTGATTTTCATAACGCAACTTCCTATACAGAGGGTTGAAAAAGAGATAATTGACTAATACATATAGATTCATTGACCTAAATTTTATCTGTTGGGTTCTAGCTCTCACTATTTATGCTCGTAAATGTGGGTCAAGCATTGCAAAAATAGTTCAAATTTTTTTGTCACCTTGTAATTTTAGGTAAGTTCAATTAGTAGTAAACCTTGGATAATGTATGATATCAAGCTTGTATTTTTTTTTTTACATTTAATACATTTTAACATTATCATACATATTATTTTGTAAGGGTCATTAACAGTTTGTTGTCATTGATATGAAGCAATTTACCTTTTACTTATTAAATTATGAAAAATCAAATTCAATGCCTAAACCTGAGGTTACGTCTATAATAAATAGGCATTACATTTATGTATAAGTAATCATTTTATTAAATTATTATTTTTTAATTACTAGTATTTATATTTACAACTTCGTTTGTGTTGATTCAAAAGAATGGGTTCAATTCATAAAAATAAAAAGTTCAAATGAGTGCCATTATTAGTAAGTGTAATATATATTATTTTATGCTGAATTTGTTTAAAATAATTTTGAATATCGACTCAATTTTATTTTCAGGTTACTCATCCACCAAGACAAGTAAAATGTGGATATTATATCTTTCATTTAATGAAAAAACTGTTATATATAATCTAATGAGAACTTCATACAAGGTTAGTATAAAAAGTAAGACACTATCTAATATGTTTTTATTAACTCTTTATAAAATGCCTATTAATTAACATTGAGTCATTATATTTTGTTAATAGTGAGAGAAAAAAGCACATGCAAGATGATATTGATAAGTCTATAAAGAATAATGTGATTTCGTATCCATATTGCCTACTATAAGATTTAGAATAACCAATCAATTGTAATCATATACAATAGCT